CTTCTCCCGACTGTCAACATAGGAAGGTGGCGCTGGGAGAGCTAAGTAGTAAGTAACAGAGCCAGGATCCAAGTCCTGGTCCACCTGACCCACTTAGGTCTGCTTCCCATTGTTCCCTCTTCCTGAGGACTGTCCCCACGAGGATGTTGAGTTTGTGGAAGCAAAGCAGGTGTGGGTTTCAGCCTGGAGTCGTAGGTTGGGGAAGAAGTCTTGGAAAAAAAGGTGCAGGAGCGAAGCTTTTCAAAGCAACTCGTATCTTGGAATTTACACCATCGAGCCTGAAAGGATACGCAAAATTACACCCCAGTGTTTCTTTTTCTTGACAGGAGAACCTGTGACTTTTATCAGATTCCCTCAAGGATCAGGGGACCACAGAGGCACACAAAAAAAACAAAAGCCAGGAGCTTGGAAAGCATTTGAGTTTGAGAAGTGAGCGGTTCCCAAGACGGAAATCCATAGGCACTGGAGACAGACTCTAACCTGCTCCGCCCTTGAACTGTGATTTGATTGACACGTAAGTTGCATGCATTGAGGGGTCTGGGGGCATTTCAACACACCCCTACGGGGCACTTCTGTTAAATCCACCTCCTGCCTCCCTTGATCCACCCTTCCCACCTTTCCAACCTCTAGAAACCAGTATTCCATATTCAGAGAGATGTTTTTAGCCTCCCCAGATGAGAAGGCTCATGCTGTACCTGTCCTTCTGGGCCTGGCTTGTTGCAGATGCACCTTCTAAAAGTACATCGCACCTGCAGTTGGCTGACCCTGTGGGTGTGGGGCCAGCAGCTGTGGGGGGCTTTGCCTTTCCTGTTTGGCTTGACCCACGCTTTTCTGCAATACCCCGACTGCCACCTTAGAAGTGGCCCAGTCAGTATCCATTAGTTCAGTGGTCCTCCTTACGTTTTAGTCACGTCTGCCTGATGGAGAAAGTCCAGCATACTCAATAGGGTCTATTCTTTACAACGTGAGAACCTTAAACTTAAATTCTATTCTAACTTTACTTTTTTATCTTATATATTTTCTCACCGAATGATATTCTTGTGTACACACCTTATTTTCCATCTCCACTCACCTTTTGGTGAGCATCTAGATGGATTTGATATTATGCTGCAATAAACATGGGTATGCAGGTGCCTCTTAGGTATGATGATTTCATTTCCTTTGGCTACATATCCAGGAAAGGGAGAGCTGGATTCTACCGTAATTGGGTTTCACTTTTTTCTGAGAACCCTCCATGCTGTTCTCCATGGTGGATGTACTAATTTATGTACCTACCAACAGTGTATTAAGGTTTCTTTTTCTCCACATCCTCACCAGCATTTCTTACTTTTTACAGTTTTGTTAATAGATCTTTTAACTGGAATAAGATGATATCTGGTTGTAGTTTGGCTCTGCATTTCTCTGGTAGCTAGTGATTTTGTGCCTTTTGTTGTTGTTGTTGTTCCCGAGACTGAACTCAGGGACACTGTACTATTGAGCCACATCCCCAGCCTATTTTATATTTTATTTAGAGACAGGATCTCACTGAGTTGCTTAGCACCTCACTTTTTGCCGAGGCTGGCTTTGAACTTGCGATCCTCCTGCCTCAGCCTCTGGAGCCACTGGGATTACAGACACGCGCCACTGCACCTGGCTGATTTGGTGCATTTTTCATAAATTTATTGGTTGCCTCATGTTTCAATCCACTTTTTAAACATACACATTCTCAATAATGTTACTATTGACAACTCAGTGTTTGGGTTTTAGATTTTCTACCTATATACCAGCTTTTTGGCTGACCACTGCTCCTTGGACATCATGTCTTTCTTGATTCAGTTTGTTTAAGCTGAAGAACACCCTTTTGTTAATTCTGCTGCAAGTGTCCATGCATGATCCACTCTCTCAATCCCTGTATGAAGTGATAATATTCAGAAGAGGAACTAAGCCTTGAGAGACCAGTTAATGTAAGCACTTTGACAAAAGTTCAAGGTGTTGTAATTATCCCAGATGAGAACCAGGGTGTGATCCTATCTGACCTTCTAGAATTATCTCTCTGTCCTCCATTAACTTCCCTTTCAATACTTGCAGCGGCACCACACCCATGGAACCATGGAACCAAACCAGTGCCTCTGAATTCATCCTCCTGGGACTTTCAGAGAAGCCAGAACATGAGACTCTTCTCTTTTCCCTGTTCCTCTGCATGTACGTGGTCACCGTCATCGGGAACCTGTTGATCATCCTGGCCATCGGCTCCGATTCCCACCTCCACACGCCTATGTACTTCTTTCTGGCCAACCTTTCCTTGGTCGATTTCTGCCTGGCCACCAACACTGTCCCCAAGATGTTGGTGAACATCCAAACCAGGAGCAAGTCCATCTCTTATCCTTGCTGCCTGACCCAAATGTACTTTTTCCACTTCTTTGGTATCATGGATAGCGTCTTAATCGCCGTGATGGCCTATGACCGGTTCGTGGCCATCTGTCACCCCTTACACTACACCACCATCATGAGCCCCCGCCTCTGTGGACTGCTCACGGGGGGTCCGTGGGTGACTTCCTGCTTCCTCTCCCTCACCCACATCCTCCTGATGGCCCGCCTTGTCTTCTGTGGCAACAATGAGCTGCCCCACTACTTCTGTGACCTCACTCCTCTTCTCCGGCTTTCTTGCAC